TGACAGTTTTCCTGCTAAGTACCTGCATGTCATAAGCATTTGAATTAAAATTACCATATTGAAATCAAATCTGTATGTTTTTTTAATTTTTATTTGGTGTGCGTTGGAAGAGGGGTAGTCTTATACGGCGAGTATATCCCAAACTCTATATTTTAACTGGAAAAGTTGGGGGTCGTCTTATACGCCCAGTCGTCTTATACGCCGGAAAATACGGTACATCTATACAGACATAAGGGTTTCCCAGCTGTGTCTATTGATAAGTGAGTTCTTACCAGACAGAAAACTATGAAACTAAATTTCCTTTTACATCTTCTAGGCTTTTCCCTTTCTCTGGAGGTGATAGATCAGATCACCTTCCTAACAGCCCCAGATTGCCTTATTTCAATATGGCTAGTTTGGAATGTGAGGATGTGACCGCACGCTTCCCAGTTTATGGCTGCCTCTTAGCCAAAGGTATTGGCCTAAGAACAGGGCCTCAGACTGTCACAGTGAGAGAAGGCACTTATACGGATTCTTTCTTTTATACCTCTATAAGTAGCTAAATGATAAACATAGACCTAAATTCTTAAAGTATAGGCCTTTACAGACAGGCTTGAATATCTATATCCTAACAATAATCTTTTTATTAAACCAAGAGGGCTGACTGTTTTTGTTTCTGCCACTTTTAGTGTGATTTAAAGTTCCAGATTCCTCTATTTTCCTTTCTAAGTCTAAGAACAGAGACGGTATGATGATCTCTCACCTTGCTGTAATAGCAAGGAGTAGATGTAAGCACAGAGTAAATAGATGGCTGCCTAAGACACTGCATTTCAGGAGGCAACATAACTTTGGAAGGAATTTTACTCCAGAAAGTAGCTGTCTGATCTTGAAAATATTCATCAACTGAAAAGTCGCCATTTTTCATTGCAGGTCAGATGAAACCTTTTGAAAAGTTTCATTTTGGTTTCGACCTTCTTTCTTTTTTAATCTCCAGTTAGCTCAAATTTTGAAACAAAAAGTCATTATGAACAGGAAAAGCAGCATTTTTCATTTTGAAAATATCAAAATGAAACTGACATTTTCAAAATCCTTTCCTCAACATTTTTTTGAGTCGGTAAATTTGTCGAACCCAACCCTGTTCTGCAAATGGTTTCGGTTTTGACGAATCCACATTTTTTTGACAAAACAGATTAATTGAAAAATTCCTGACCAGCTCTATCTATGGGTCACTTCAAAAACCAAATCATTTACGGTCATTATTCTAATTATTAAAGCAGATCAGATAAACAACAGTTTTAACATATTTCTTTTTAAAGGCCTTGATGCACTTTTAATGGTTGGCCTGGAAAATATGCAGGATTTAAATGAACTTCAGGAAATAGAGTTTGGCAGAGGATTTGGATACAAGCAACCGCTGAGCATTGGATTTCCAGAACTTCCAAACATCTTACGGAAAGAACTTGTAAGTCCCTTTGTGATATGAACAAAGACAAAACCCATCACATTTTGACAATCTGATAGATAAGCTAGTATATCACAAATTGTTTTGCAGGACATGGTTGCTGAAAGAAAATGCTGCAATGTTCTTGCTAAGTGTGTTGGCGAACATGGTTTTCGTGGTGTAACTGGACCTCCTGGGAGGAAGGTAAGTGTACAAAAGTGTCTACTGGTTAGTTATTTTATTTTGCCAGGCTTTTTTTAAAATAGTTCAGTGCTACACACATAAAACACCTGCAAATCTTGCCAGTACAACAGGAAACAAAAGCTTGATCATTTCTCTAGTGTAAATTTTATTCTAGTATAAGTTTTTCTTATAAAAATATAGACCAGTAAAACACACAGAAAAACAGGTGGCCTTGGTGACTTTTGACACTAATGGCCATTCGACACATTCCTTGGGGCAATTCAGTAATCGGAAATAACCCTGTCCCTTCCTCACTTGACCATGACAATTATGGCTAATTGCCTTTGGTAGAATACTGCTGCTGTATTAGCAATTTGAACGCTAGCTGCCTTCCCACCAGCCACCAACATCACCCCTCTCTTGTGCTTTCTCATTCTTCTTTCTCATCCCACCTCTGCATCCACGTGCAGGAGTTGCCACACCTGGCATCGTACTGTCCTTCCAAAATGTCCTATTTAAAAAAATCTTGCTACTCACGTTGCTTTCTCGGATATTTTCCTGAAATCCATCAGATCGGGTTATGGGGGGCTCTATTGGTTGAAGTTTCCCACTTGGAATGGTGCTATAACATGGAGCATGCCAGCCATCCCACACAGATGCTGGTTTATAAAATAAACTGTAGCCATTTTTCTTGTATAATATTTAATAATAATACTTTAAGTTGCTATAGTGCCATTTATTTGAGAGACTTGTTATTAATTAAATAAATAAATTAAGCTTTGCTTTGTAACACCCCTATATTGTTGTTCTAACCATTTTACATTTTTACATTTTGCTGTTTATAAAAAATTGTCATCCACTCAGGAAGGTGAAACTTTATCATGTGATTAGAGTGAATTGTCTGACATCACAAATGATGAATAGTTGAAGCAAATAATTTGTAAATAACCCATAGGTTGGAACATGCTCCTGTATAATGGTCAAACAATTTCCAGTAGCAGACAAAATTAGCCTGTTCGTGGATAATTTGCCATCCAAAGAGGCTCAATTAACTATTTCCTATAAAGAAGTCATCATCTTGACAGTGTAGACTTTGTAGGAAGGAAAGGAAAGACAGGTGTAAAAACCACTCTTTTATGGCAAACAGCCAGGGTTTCTGAAAGACAGTTTTTCAGGTTATTTTTAATAGTCACAGAAAATTTAAACACCCTCTTCAGATATCTGTTCACTGTTATCATATCCCCTCTTAGTCCTCACTTAGGCAATATGTATATACGCAGTTCTTATTTTTCCTCATAAATCACTCCTGTCAGCTCCTTGCTTATTTTTGCTGCTCTTCTATGAATCCCTCTATTTTGTCAATTTCTTTCTAGCAATATGGTGCCCAGATGATAAAAGCAATATGCAAGACACAGTTTCAGCAGGCCTGTGTAGACATTCCTTGTCCTGTGACATGTAGCCTTTGAAACTGCAGCCGACAATCATTCAAGCAAACTTTGGTGCTGTATTATATTGAGAATTCATGACTAATTGCCTGTCCACTGCCATTCCTAGTTCTTTTTCAGCATTTTGGTTTTCCAGGCTTCTCCTGCACACTGAATGTTTGCATTTTGGGTTATTTTTCCCAAGAGACGATGAGTTTTTCATCATTCCAAATCAAATATAAATTGAGTCTTTGCATATATCTTTAATATCTCTAGGTCTCTTTGTAATATATTATTTCTCTGTTCTCAATAGTATTTAACTCCTTACAATATAGTACCCTCTGTGAACTTTGTTAGCATGCTTATTATTTCTTATTCCAGTTCATCAATGAAGATATTGAATAAAATCAAACCTACCATTGATCTCTCTGGTGACAGTCAGAGAGCACACCAAAGGCTTATCCTGAAACTGTATACTGAACACTGTTCTAATTATTATTTCTCAAGTTTAAATGACTTTTAGTAGTGGAAATGTCCAAGATGCAGCTTTTTTTCTCCCCTTTATAATTGACTCTGGTTTGAAAGGTATGTTTTCTATCTGCACATGCAGAGTTCTGCAGCCACCCTCCTGTAATCCAATGTGAAGGAGCACGCTGTTGAGGAAAAGGAAATCTGAGACAGTTTTATCTTATTCATTTGTTTCTTTCAGGGAGGTGTAGGCTTCAGGGGATCTCCTGGCCATCCTGGTGAGGAAGGTGGAATTGTAAGTAAACATTTTACCTGCCTTCATTTTAAGGGGGATGTTGGGAACCCCTCACAGACCTTGGAAAATGTACCACCACTGCTTGTACACAGAAGGGGATTGCCTACGACTTCTACTGCACGTAGTTTTTGGTGAATGTAGCACCAAATGATTTGCCAACATCACAGGGTGGCTGTTGCGGAACTCGGAGTAGAACTCAGATCTCCTGATTTACAGTCATGTGCCTCTCACACAAGCCCATCCTTTCCCTCTCAGCATAAGCCAGCATATCATAAGAAAAGCCAATCATAAGTATAGCAGCATAAGATTATTATTTTTGGTACATTTACCAATGGCTTTGCAATGAGTTATTTATTACTGCTGTAGACTTCAGCATAACACACACAAGGCTAGAAATGTTCTCCCCCCCACCTTTAAAATCATAAATTCTGTCGAGACATCACCCAGAGAAGGCCAACAAAAATTAATTTATTTACCAGTATAAACACAGAACTAGTTTTATAGTGTTGCAGCCCTGTCACTTGGACATCTCTCCTAAAAGACTTTTATTGATGGCAGGAAGGCTGCACACCAAAAACCCATTCTGAGATAACTATATAGAAGCATGCAAGCCCCATTGGAGTAATTTCTGCTCTCGGCGTGTGCTTGGCTAGCTTGATCTTGCCACTGGAGATGCTGTCTGGGGCTCGCCAGAAGACAGCCCGGGTGGAGCCGGCAGTGAAAGAGAACGCCTCCGAACTGAGATTGTGGAGAAAGCACTCTCTGTTGCTGTGCCCTCCAACCCCAGAGGCCATGACTCAGGTTAAGCAGCAGATAGATGGAAGAAATCAACTTTCCCAAATTTCAGGCCACCTCCATCCCTGCCCAGAAGGGGGAGAGGAAAAGGAGATCCATCGATTCCTCATTGTCTTGTGGATGCTATAACCTAAAAGCAACTCCCATGCCCCCACTTTCCCCTATT